GCACAACTGTGAAGCAGTGGCTGGGTTCTTGAAGGCAGCACACAGCGGAGTGTACGCAACAAACAAGGTATCTGCAGTCTGAGCTCAGAAACCCACACACAGAGGAAGCAGTGAGAGCAACAAGGGGGAGACACTGTGGGACAGAAGGCAGAGTGTGCAGTAAGATGAAGTCAAGTGCCCAGGAGAGGAAGGGCACAGCCAGAAAGAGGTAGGGGAATGAGAAAGGGAGCTTGTAAGGAGTTAAAAGAGAGTGGGAAAGTCCTGCCAGAAATAAAAGTGACTGGACACTGAGTCCCTGCAGAGGCCGCCTGGAGGTTCTTTGTGGCACCCACACCAAAAATGACAGGACAGAAGACAAGGGACCAGGCCACGTCCTGGATGTGGGAGGAGGCTGGTGCTGCTTGGTGCCCCCTGGGGGCTGGCACGGCCTGAGGGCTCCATGTACTACTTCCTTTGTCTTCACGGCCCCTCCAGATGTGGCATCGCAGGTGCAGAGACAGTCCCTGTGCCCAGACGGGACAGCAGGGCTGGGACCCAGGTTGCAGCTGCCTCCAGAGGCCACCTCTGAGCCTCTAGACTAAGCTGCCTGGGTCTGGCCAGAGTGAGGTAGACTCTTGTATAACTGGCTTGCAAATACTGGCAGTGTTTCATCTTACTGTCTAGCACACTTTTTTATTAGTTTGTCCACAGTGTGTGATTAAATCTAGTACACATAAATCCCTTTTTATTACAGGTTTAGCCTGTACTAAAAATACCCATTCCAGCGAAAGCTGCTGGCCATTCTGACACTGGACTAGGGCCCACCAGAGGACAGACATCCCTCCTAGGGCCTTCCCTGTCAGAAAAACGAGGGCAGCATGCACCTGGGCTTTAGGACATATGTAGTGAGCCTGAGAGGGTCTCAAAGGCCCATGTTTTGCCTCTTCAGCTCCTTCAGTTTCTCTTGCTTTAATGATTTGAGGGATATGAGGATCTGAGAGAGAAGAGGTGGCTCCCTGGCCCCAGCTGTTGGTTGTTTAAAAATATCCCATAACCTCAAAGCCCGCCTGGATAAATAAACAACCCGAAATGCTGTGTTCCACATGTGCAGAAGCAATGCGATGGCAAGACTCAGAGAGAACCAGAGAGACAGACAAGGATTCAGAGGAACAGACAGATGGAAACAGGTAACAGGGACAACGTCAGAGAGAGACAGAAAATATATTCACATTGATCACAGCAGATCATCTAAATCCTTCCAGATACAGAGAAACAAGGTGATTCCTACTGCTTTGTGAAGACGCTTCTTGTTTTAATCAATTACTTGGGAGCACTGACAGCGGCATTCCCGTCACTGATGAGAACATCAGTGGCCAGCCATGCGCTTACTGGCCGCTCAGTGTGCCTCAGGTCTGCTGGGTGCTGTGGTAGGCACTATCTCAGTTAACCTTCAAAAGAAACCTACGGGGTAGCACTAGGATCACATCCATTTTACAGATGTGGTAACAGCTGGGAACATTCAGATAACTTGCCAGGTTCTAGTATTACTCAATGAGTGGACCAGGATTCAGCCCTGGCCTCTGTGTTCTCTGAGCCAGGTCCCCAACCACTGGTGTCTGCCAATCAACTCTATATTTGACCAGAGAAAGCTCCTTCCTCAGTCTTCAACTGAAAAGGTCCCTATGACTTTCAAACTTATTCAGCAAAGAAAATTGCTCTTCTGAATGGCCTGGGAAGCTGCATTTTTCTTCTCTCCTCTCCCATGCTAAATGACATTTATTTATTGTGCTTGGGAAGGACCAGCTCAAACCCACTCATTACAAGGTAAGGGAAGCTACAAGTTCCCACCTCAGCTTTCAGCATACCACTGTGCTATTTCCCTTCCTGCAAAAAGAATTCTTTCAGTAAAAACTTTCCATCTAAAAATAAGATCATGGCTAATCTGCAATTACACTTCTCAGTGGGAGACATTTGCCTTTCACTCTATTTTCCTGAATGCAGAAGGTCCAATCCGCTGTCCTGCTCATCAGTCAACCAAAGGCCCAAGCGTCCCGTAATTAACCGGAAAACTGAAGCTATGCAGGTTTGAATTACTGGGTGGTGTTTTGAGGAGCCCTGGGGGCAGCTTTACTTTAGATCACTCATATGCTACTCCTTCACCTGTCCCCTACAGAGCTGGCCCTGAGCACCACTCAGAGGCTGCAGCTCGCGATGTGCTCCTAGGCTCCAGTTTTCCTCCTCTAGATCCCGCTCCAAACTTCCCCACTTCCTCTCCTTTCCCTTTCTCCTTCCTGTTCTGGGTCTCCCATATATAGACCACCACCATGTTTGGTTGCGGATGCTGGGTGGCCACCGTGACTTTGATTTATCAGAAAGATGGAGGCCTGGCTCCTGGCCTATTATAGGCTGGTGGCTTCTAGGTTCATGGCTGGTAGAGTGCACAGAAGGGGACCCTATTGGAAACACTCACATGCAGAAGTACACTGTCACCAGGCAAAGGCATAGTTGTGATAAGGGGCTTTTACATTTCATTCATCAGGGTTCTTTAAGGGACATAAACACCTGTGGGCAATGGGAGGGAACAAATGTGATTATATGAACTTTCATAACATGTCTGATAATAATCCAAAAGGAATTTTAAAACAGTAAGTCACAGGAGATTGAGAAGAAAGTTTTGACTGTGATTAAAAATCTAGCCTAGGCTGGGAGTGGCGGCTCACATCTGTATTCCCAGGATTTCGGGAGGCCGAGGCAGGTGGATCACTTGAGGTCAGGAGTTCAAGACCAGCCTGGCCAACATGGTGAAACCTTGTCTCTAAGAAAAATACAAAAAAATTAGCCGGGTGTGGTGGCATGTGCCTGTAGTCCAGCTACTCGAGAGGCTGAGGCAGGAGAATTGTTTGAACCTGGGAGGTGGAGGTTGCAATGAGCCAAGATCACGCCACTGTACTCCAGCCTGGATGACAGAGCAAGACTCCATCTCAAAAAAAAAAAAAAAAAAAATCTAGCCTAGAGACAAGAAACAGAGGATAAATGAGTGGAAACACTGGGGGTGTTTAGAAATGAGTAAAAAGTTTTATAAATGACAAAGAGAAGGCAGTGCCCAGTAAGACCTTTAGTTTTGTAGACAACAACACCCTACCTACCAAAATACAGACTAGAATAAGGCATTAGACCTCCAGGAGAAGGCATGCAGAATGACAGAAGAGTTTATGTGCACAGGTGTAAGACACACACTGTCCCATCGTGTCACAGGCCTGGAGGTCAAAATTACAACCCAAGAAAGGGTGCTGAGAACTCCTACAGGTAGACGGTTCCCCCAAAGACATTTAAGATGCTGTGCTCCTTCAGCTTAATTTGTCCCCAAGGTAAGTGTGGAACGGACACTGGGGCTGGTATCACCAGGAAGGGTACTGGTGCTCAAACAAAGGTTGTCGTGTGTCCTTGTAGAATCCCTGGTGTGCCCCCACATGGAGAACTAGGTGTAGTTTTGGTCATTGCATCTATAGAAGGTCAAGACATTGTTCAGAGAAAGCCAATCAAAACTATCAAGGGAGGAGGAGTAACAAGAGCACGAGCAGCTAACAGTTACAGAGTGTTTGCTACATGCTAGGCACTTTCCACCTGTTCATTCATTTATTCTCTCCACCATCCCATGCGGCAGGCAGTTATCAACCCTACTACCGAGAAGAGGAAACTGAGGCACACAGCGTTTCAGTGCCTTGCCTGTCACGCAGCTGGTATTTGAACCCAGGCTGTGCAGTGCCAGATCCCATGCTCTTAACTATCAGCTACTTCCTACATGGGAGAAACAGAACACATTCCACACTGTTCTGTTGGGGAGGCAAGGCTGAAATTAGTTTATCTACGTTAAGAAAACCAAGATGAGGCCTGATAGCGAAAACATGAGCTTTGTGCCGAACTGTAGATTATTAAAGTTAGGGTAAAGTTAATTTAAGACAAATAAACGGAAGACTGCTTTGCACAGCATGACGTACATTATAAAATCTTATTTTTCTCAAGAAGAATTGAGACTACAAATTCTAAGACTCCCGAAGAGTGTTGGCAATCAATGCTGTGTTACTAAGGGAAGTTAGGTTTGTTCTGAGGGGCACTCCTATCCTTTCAGTTATAAGGTAACAGGGTTTCCATCGCTTATTCTCCCAGGAATACTCCTGGTCACTTCCGCTAGAGGCAGGCTACGAGTCTTCCCCACTGTGGCAAAGCTTTTGTCCTCTACTTCCTTCCCTTCCTGTCACTTGGGTGTTCTGCCATCTCCTTGCCAACCTCATCTCTAGGCAGCTCCAGCCAGAGAGAGAAGAGGGTCTGTGGGTGTGGGGAGCAGCTCTCAGTCTGCAGTGACAAGAGGCGCTTGCCAAATAATCCCAGGGGCTGGGCCCGGGTCACTTGTAGAAGGCCAGTGCTGGGCCGGTGGTAGGGCCCAGCCTTATAGCTGCAGATCTCTGAGCTCTCAGTCCCCTCTGCCTATTTTCCTAGCCTGTCCTGGCGGAAGTTGGGAGGCAGAGAGGGGAGGCCTTGGTGCTCTCCGGGAAGAATACAGATCCTAACTCCAGCCCCTGGGGGAGAAGGCTCCCGGACCCTGCCTCTTTTCCTGTCCCCAGAAGGACTGGGGATTGAACGCCCCCAGCCCTTCTGAGGAGTCGGGACACACGACTGCACAAGGGTGCCTCCCATAGGTGTGTGGCCAGCCCTGCGGCAATCAGGGGCCTGGGGGCGACATGACTTTATTTCAAGTGCCTGCTGACCTGGCAGCCTTGGGAGACAGAGGACCCCGTTCTGGTGCCTGTGCTGGGGGAGGCGTAGCCAAGGGCGGTGCAGGGTGTAAAGAGATTAAAAAAGAGATTTGGTGACTCTAGGCCCGGTGAACTCAATCAGTGGCAAGATGCAAATGCGCCGAAATATTAACCATTACTGAGTGTTCCGTGGCGCGGGGCTGGAGAGGCGCAGAGCCCACCCGGATGATCTGGGCTCCTGCCAGACTCCGCCCAGGCACTACTCACCTACGCAGTTATCACAAAGGCTGCAATGGGAGGCGCGAGGGGGCCGGAAAATCTTGCAGGTGAAACAGTATTTAAGTTTCACGGTCTGGCCATTGATGATGACTTCTTTGGTTCTGGGAGGCGGGCGGTACCCCCCTGAACTGGTGCCGTTTGCGATATCTGTGGAGAAAAGAAGAGAAAGAGCGCACACCCTTCAGAGCCTCCCTCGGCCTCGGCAGGACCCGTCTGCCTGGAGTGTGAGCTCCAGGGCAGCAGGCACAGTGGCTGGCACGGCCCCGGTGCCCACACTTTACTCAGGCTGGGGCTCTGGGACTCGTCCTCCACTGGGACCCAAGCCTCTTTCATTGCACACGTGCAGGGGCCACATGACTGAGCTCTGGCCAATGGAGCAGAGCACACATGGCCCCGCCCAGCCAGGCCCTTCCCATGGAGCCCCACCCCTTTTTCTCTTCCCCCTCCCCTCCCTGCGGGCGGCAGGAGAGGCCCCGGGCCACCTTGGGGGCCACAGCTGAGGAGTAGCCTGACTGCACAGAGGAGGGCCACCCTGACCTCTTCCCACCTGCACAGGTCTATGAGCACCAAACGCCTGCCTTAAACCTGGGAAGGCTAGGGTGTTACTTGTTAGTGCTGCTAGCCTTGCCCTCATTAACACACCACCCTAATTCCCTCTCCTGGAATGCCGGACTCCAAATCCAGCTCCAGGGTCCCTTCACTTTGCCCACTGGCTTCCTCAAAAATGCCAAGTATAGAATGGGAGGGGGAGAATGCAGATTGTAAAAAATACATTTTAAAAAAATCATTAAATATGTATTTTGAAAATCATTTCTACATTTTATCATCTCAATAGCACCTTTAATCTTTAGAACCAGTTCTAAAAATGTCAATGAAAATACAAACATGTAGAATTTTTAAATTTCGATTTTATCTTATAGTCTCTGATTTCACATTAAGATCACATGGGAGCTTTTAAAACTCCCCTAAGGTGTGAACCCTGTCCCAGATTCATTAAATCAGAATGACCCAGGTTATTCTCATGTGGGCAAGGGTTGAGAACCCCTTTCTCTGGGAAGACAAAACTTCCAGTTTTATTTCGCCTCACAGTCCTATTAGCCTTGTCCTATTAGTCCTATTTCCTCACAGTCCTATTAGCCTTGTCAAGAAAGTTAGGGTAGCTGGCTGTGCAGTCAAGAACAGGAGCACAGGGTGGATGGAGCAGAGCAAGAACTTCCATGAGGGCTTCAGCTGAGACTCTGTGGCTGACACATGCAAGCCAGACCTAAGGGACTGGATCCGTCCTGGGGAGCGTCAGGGCTGGTAACGTTAAAGATAACTGTTCATTTTAACTCTCACCCTCTTAAAGCACATACTATCAGAGATGGTTGCAAGATACTTTTGGTTAATTTCCAAAGTGGTAGGAATCAGTCCCATCACCCACTCAGGCCCCTCACACCACACCAACTCATCCTGGGCAATAATCATTGAGCAGAACTGCTGAGATCCTGGTCCTGCCTGCAGAGATTCTTTCATTGGTGTGGGGCATTGTATGAGTCTGTTCTCATGCTGCTATTAAAGACATACCTGAGACTGGATAATTTATAAAGGAAAGAGGTTTAGTTGACTCACAGTTCCGTTGGGCTGGGGAGGTATCAGGAAGTGTATAATCAAGACAGAAAGGGGAGCAAACAGGTCCTTCACATGGCAGCAGGGAGGAGAGGTGCCAAGCAAAGGGGGAAAAGCCTCTTATAAAAGAATAAGATCTTGTGAGATCACTATCACAAGAACAGCATGGGGGTAACTGCCTCCATGATTCAATTACCTCCCACTGGGTCCCTCCCATGACATGTAGAGATTATGGAAACCACAACTCAGGATGAGATTTGGGTGGGGACACAGCCAAACCATTTAAGATCTTCCTCTTTTCCTTCCTTCCTCTTTTCCTTCCTCCATGATTGTAAGTTTCCTGAGGCCTCCCCAGCCATGCTTCCTGTGCAGCCTGTGGAACTGTGAGCCGATAAAACCTCTTTTCTTTATAAATTATCCAGCCTCAGGTAGTTCTTTATAGCAGAGTGAAAATGGAGTAATACAGATGGGAATCTGCAATCAAAGATGAGAAGCCCTGCTCCAAGAGTGATCCACCAGCATCCATATCATCTGACAGCCTAGCAGAGAAGCAGATTCTTGGCTTGTCCCAACTGAATGGGGATCTGCATTTCACTGAGATTCTCCATGATTGAAACTTTCAGGTTTGAGAACCCCACTATGGGGTGCCAGTAAATACTCCCCAGTTCACATATTCCTATGTGCCTCTTTATTATGTACTCAAATACACTCACTTGCATGATAAAGAGCTAAACTTAGAGAACAAGCTTAGTCAGGTGAGGGGCCACATCACAGAACTCACCCACACCCAAGTATTTTCACACAGAGTACTTGGTGATTTAGAACAGCTCAGTGTATCTGGAGAGCTATGCCGTTCTGCCCCCAAGCAGGGCTGCTCTCACTCACTGACAGTACCCACGACTCAACATGTCATGATTTAAGGGCTCCAAAAGGTATGCCCCTCCCTGCAGTCTTCTTTAAAAATATATATATATATTTAATTTTTAGAAATAGTGTCACTCTGTCACCCTGGCTGGAGTGCAGTGGTGCTATCATAGGTCACTTGACCTCCCAGGCTCAGGTGGTCCTCCCACCTCAGCCTTCTAAGCTGCTGGGATTACAGGTATTCACCACCATGCCTGGCTAATTTTTAAATTTTTAAAATTATTTATTTATTTGAGAGACAGAGTCTTGCTCTGTCACCCAGGCTGGAGTGCAGTGGTGTGATCTTGGCTCACTGCAACCTCTGCCTCCCAGGTTCAAGCCATTCTCCTACCTCAGCTTCCCAAGTAGCCGGGACTACAGGTGTGCACCACCACACCCAGCTAATTTTTGTATTTTTTTTTAGTAGAGATGGTGTTTCACTGTATGTTGGCCAGGCTGGTCTCAAACTCCTGACCTCAGGTGATCCGCCTGCCTTGGCCTCCCAAAGTGCTGAGATTACCGTCACTGTGCCCAGCCTAATTTTTAAATTTTTTTGTAGAGACAGGGTCTTACTATGTTCCCCAGGCTGGTCTTGAGCAACCGACTTCAAGCAAGTGTTCCTCCCACCTTGGCCTCCCAAAGTGGTCACAGGCACGAGCCACTGTGCCCAGCCTCCATCTTCTTTAAATGGCTGTCAGAGGTCTGGAAATCTGCCATAGCCCTTTAGCCTAAGGCTTTGGTGTTTGTGAAAGTACAATCCCAGAGTTAAGGAGAGTGCTTTGAACTGCTGCTGGCCATGAATTATTCATGGCAAAATTAAAGTTCCAGGTTGGAGGGAGAGCAGGCAGTGTGGAGGGCAGGGCGCGGCTACGGCAGGAGGATGAAGCAGGTCTTCTACTTCTCTCTTCCTGAGTCCCAAACCTTCTGCTTAAAATAATTGAACAGCTGTGGAGCCAGTCCAAGGACTCTGGGTGGCCTTGCCCTGCCAAGCAGGACACCCTCTTTTGGCAGATGCCCCATCTGCCTGGCACCCCAGGTGGCTGCCCCATCAAATGGCACTAACGTCACAGGCATCTGGAGAGGCGCTGAGCTCCAAAAGCAGGGGCCTTAAGAAGAGGGAGGCCTTGCAACTGATTCTGTAATAAGGAGAGAACAAAGAGATGGCACGGCTGTGTGCTTCCCCTGAGCAATGGATAGAAATCACTGGTTTTGAACTCATCAAAGATAAGGTCAGCTCTCTCTGCCAGCTGGGTGCCACTGAGGCCTAGATTAATAATAATCCTTATGTCAGCTGTGAAATCTATTGCCTCTATATACTCCTGCAAATATGGGTAGAAAAACTAGACCTGGTATCTTTTTAAACAATACGAATTCAATCAAACATGTGTGTTCATTTCATCAGAAAAGTTTAGAAACTGAATCGTGAAGGTGATTATTTTAAAATGCAGGAATGACAAATTTTTCAACACTACAATTATTTAAATAGCCTAGTTCTGAGTAGCAATGACTTGAAAAAGCAAGTATTTGCTGGCACTCCTGAAGATAAACTCTATTGATCTTTAGTTCCAAAGTGCATTTTTTAAAAGATTGAACCTCTGTTACAAAGAGGTGAAATGCTGAAAGCTAGAATTCAAAAGACATAGTAAACTGAAGCTTAAGAATTAAACCCAAACCTAAAACCCTTTGACTAAATATTTGGAGAGCTCTTTATGTAAAAGAAATGGAAGAATCAGAAGACCTGGATTCAGGGCCCAGCTATGCCACGAAAAAAGTCAACCAATATTTATGAAGGATTTACTATAAGCCAGTGCTGCACCAGGGGTTGCGGAGGGCCGCTGGGGTCCTGGGAGGGCTCTGCTGGGTTGTCTGATGAGCACAGCAAGTCTCGAGCCTGTCTTGCCACCCATTCTGATCTGATCTGTTCTCCTGGCCCTTAGAGTCAGCTTTCTAAATGCAAGTCCCACCAAGAAACTCAGGCCCTCCCATGCAGCACACAATCCGTGAACCTTCTCTCTCCTTGCACGATCTTCCATGGAGCCTATGCTCAAAAGACAGTGGCCTCCTTGGGTTCCCCTGAGCGGGCAATGCTGTTTTCTACTTCCAGGCATTTGCATGTGATACTCTCTCTGCTCAGGATTCCCTCTCCTGCTGTCTGTGCAGATAATCCTATCCTTTCAGGGCCAGTTCCAGCTTCTCTTGTGAAAACACTTTGCAAGCAGAGTTACTTGTTTCCTCCTTTGGGCTCTCACTGCGCCTGCCTTGTTTATTTATCCAGCCACTAGATCTGTATTGTGCTTCTACTGTGGGCCAGCCCTGGGCTCTGAGCTGGGGACACAGCAGGAACTCAGATTTCTTCTCTGCTGGTGGTGTTTACAGGCTGGAGGGAAGACCCAGTACCGATGATGTCAGGAGGATTTGTTTCCAGATCTTCCTGCTGCTCTAGGGCAGTGACCATGGCCTATCCACTTTCAAGTCCCCATTGTCCAGCAGAGGGTCTAGCACATAGGAGATGCCCAAGATGGAGGACTGCCATGTTCCTGCACCTCCACCCCGCCTGGGAATCACAGCTGCAGGCCCTCAAGTGCTGCAATGCTGCCCACCAGGCAGGCCACTCTTGTGCTTTCAGCCCCTCCCTT